CACTTTCTTCCCTGATCTACTTCTGTGTTTTCCCTCTTCCTCTCCATTTCCCATCTTCTTGCCGGAGTATACCGCCACCACCACTGTTCATGACGAAAATTTGATATTTTAGATGTGTATTTGTATGTGTATTTTGTTTGTAGATGTGGATATGTATTTGTATTTGCATTTGTATGTATATGTGTATTTTGAGTGTATTTATATATATATATATATATATATATATATATGTGTGTGTGTGTGTGTGTTTTTGTATGATCATTTATATGTATATGTGTATTTTGTATGTAAATTATGTATGTGTATGTGTATGTGTTTTTGTATGTATATGGTATTTTGTATGTGTATTATGTATGTATGTGTATTTGTATGTATACAAATACATATAAATAGCGGCGACACCTTTAGTGGCGACAGATAGTATTAGCAGCAACGCGTCTTTAGTGGCGAAAGAAGGCAATAGCGGCGACCAAAGAAGTATTAGCGACGAAGCAATAGCAACGACCCTTTAGCGGCGACATTTTCGACCTTTAGCGGCGACGCCCGTCGCTGGTAATACTCTAATTTCTTGTAGTGATATATACAACCTAGCTCTATATAGGGTTATGTTATTTTGTTTCTAATAACTATGGTGTGCTAGAATGTATAGATCTGAGCCATCAGATTAAATATAATCAAAGATCATGATATGAGGGTTTATGATAGTAGAATAAGATAATATATATATATATATATATATATATATATATATATATATATATATATATATATATACCATATAATCACATAAATTTCAGTATAAGAGTATTTTAGTCAATTAACCTATATTAAAAAAAGGAAATTTTCGGATTTTTAGGGATAATTAATTCCCTTATTTTTAAAAATATGAATATTTTAAATTAATTCAAAATTAAAAATCCGATTTTATTCTGTCAGAATGATAGAATATCAACCATAAATTAGTAAATATATTTTTCGATTTTATTCTGTCAGAATGACAGAATGTCAACCATAAACTATTAAATACATTCTGAAAAAAATACACAAAATCAATTCTTGAACTAATAATATACCAAATGATTACATTGTATGATTATGATTCATTAAATAATAACAATATTCTGAAAGAAAAAAGTAAAAAAAAATCAAAATCTAACAAAAACACTAATCTATTCTGAGAGAGTATTATTTTTTAGCAACACTTTATACATTATAGCATAACACATTCTAGTATAATACACTCTCGTTCTCTATGTTTTCTTCCTTCTCCACATCAATGTCAGCCTCTTCAAAACCTAAATCCACAAAACAAACATAATCAAGTTTCAAAAATTAAAAAATTCAATGCATTCTAAGAGAATAAAAACTATAAATTCTGATAGAATGTATTAAAGACTATAAAGTTTGACAGAATATAGTAGAAAATAAAAACTATAAATTCTGACAAAATGTAGTAGAGACTATAAAGTCAATCATAATAGTTACATAAAATATACTTGTTGTTGACAATTATTCTCGAACATTCTAACAGAATATATTTATATAAAATAAATTCTAATAAAATACATTACATAATTCAAAAGTTGTGATTGAATACAAAATTCAAGAGATGTGATTGAATCATCAACACACATCTGCATTCATTCCAAGTCATGAATTCAAGAAACAAACACACATTTACATTATCGATTTAGAAATATGAACACGAATTTTGACTTTTTTTAAACAAAATCCAACTTATGACTGTGAAGTGCAAGTTGTATCAGAATATTTCTTCAATCGAACTGAAATAAACCATTGAAGAAATCGAATTTAATAAGATGATGAACACAATCTCGATCTTGAATCAAAATCGAGATAAAATCAATCTTGATTGAGGTAAATAATTTCCAGTTATATCCCCTAGTTGTTGGATTACCGAACCAGAGAAAAAAGAACAAGAGGATGCCAGAGCATACCTCCGACCAAGTACCTGCAATTATCGGGATTTCCTCACCGTTCGCTCCTCGCTTCTCATTCCCGTTCACGAACCCCACAACAACGCCACTGCTCTTTCGTATCCCCTTCTTCAGCCTCATCGACCCCAGAGTTCATCATCGATTGTGAGATGAGAGTATGTGCTCCCTTTTGGATCCATCGATTGTAGAAGAAGAAGCAGAATCGGTGATAATGATGTGTTGATACCAATGATGAAGTGTTCGGCCACAAACATAACTTGGTCAAATATATTTAGTTTATTTCATTAATTGAATGATTAGTTTATTTCCTTAATTGAATGATTTCAATTAAATGATTTCCTTAATTAAAAGTACAAAAAGTCCAAAATACCCTTTAATGATTTATTTAATTATTTATTATTTCTTGAATTCTCATTGGTGCATTTAGACACACAATATTTGCTAAAAACATTTGAATCTAGCTATATATATATATATATATATATATATATATATATATATATATATATATACACACACACAGAGAGAGAGAGAAAGTTAGGTTCATATACATCCAACAAATATTGTGTGAATGTAAGGACCAAACATAATTTAAGAAAAAAATAAAATATTAATTAATATGGCTATAGTTAACTGTAGAAAATAATTAAAACATTTAATTTCCCCTTAAATGAGGGATATCGGTTAAATATTAACAAGCGAAATAAACTCCTCCTTGATTATCTATACGAAAATCAATATTCAATTTGAAAAACCATACTCATGGTTAAAACTCATACGATAATTATCAAGTATGTCTCATGTATATTTTTTTCCTTTATTAATTGTTTATATATAAAAAAAAGATTTTTATATTTCACTAACGTCAATTGTCAATTGATAAAAGTTACATGAGCCTAAACTATTTTGCCTTTACATAAGTAAGAAAAAAACAAAAGCAATTAAAGAATTAAAATAATAATTTTAGGGATTTTGTTTCTCAGTATGGTATTTTTTTTTGTATATTATTTAAGAATCTTATCACATTCTTGTAGAATATGTTTAGTTTCTTTTTCTTTTGCACATCTATAATATTGATTTATAATTTGTTTTTAATGCTGAAAGAATGGAGTGTGGAGTGAGAACTAACTTTTAAACGTGATGTAGAATTACAATTTGTTCTTGAAGAATAAAACTCTTAACAAAACCAATTATTAAAGAATGGAAAGCAGAATTGAAGTGGTTTTTGAAGAACAAAGATCGAAATGTTAATTTTAATTTCAAATGTAAATCTTCAAATATATTATCTATTTTTTACCATTTCAAGAATGTTGGTTACGTACTTGGAATTAATGTCTTATTATTTAAGAATGTTAAATTATTCTTCAAAAATATATACTATGACATCTAATTAATGTCTTATTCTACGAGAATTTCTAACAAAAAATGTCATTTAAAATCATTCTTATCATCAAGCATGGAGTTTTAATTAATAAATTGATTCTTAACGATTTTCATGAAATATAAAAAGTTTTATTTTAAAAAAAAGATTCTTAATGTTGTATCAACCATGAGAATTGTTAAAAGATTGTTAAAAGAAAATCTAATTTTTAAAGAAACAAATACGGTTCATGTTTTTTGAGTAATTTATAAAAAATGATTACAGTACATAAATAAAAATAAAAATTTAAATTTAAATTAATATCCCATGAAAATTTACCTTTCATATTTACTTTTTAACCATTATTACAATTAAATAAATGCAATTATATAGTAATGTTACCACATGTTAATAATATGTATTATCATATCCTAACCCTTCATTTCTTTTAATCCAATAGACAAGAAGTAGTTATATATTCATATAATATTTGAAGTTCACATTTGATCCTACCCTATATATATATATATATATATATATATATATATATATATATTGAAAAGTTCGATAAAGAACCATAATTATTGGTTTTTCAAGGAACCAAATCTTTTTTTCAATTTCTAGAGCTTATTCTTTATCGAAAAAAATCTAAATTCATATATTAACATTGTGAATGTGAAATTATTATTTGGATTCACACGGTGTATCCGGATTCACGTTGTGAATTTTCAAATATTCACATTGCGAATTTGACGTAAAAAAAATCGACTTTTATATCATTGGAAAAAGGATAAAAAAAATTATGAATTTCTATATATATATATATATATATATATATATATATATATATATATATTATTTTTTTTTTATATAAAAAATAAGTTATAACAGTTGAAAAAAAAAGATTGGTTCATTAGTTCCTTAATTAATTATGGTTCTCTATTGTAAAAATGAAAAATTGTTGCATTTAGGTTGGTAGTGTAAGTTCTAAGAAACTTCAAGGTAATGGGAAGTCGAGTCAAGTGACAAAATTGAAAGGTGTTTCATTTATTATTTTTATTACTTTCTTTTCGTTTCATAGCTTTTAATTATTGTGACATTGGTTGTTAATTATTGTACTTGTTATTGACCTTTTATCGGTGTGAAAATATATGATGAGTAACATCTTATCACTAATTTCCACATGTGTTGTGTTTTTTAAGGATATAAATATAAAAGAGAACTAGGTGAAAAATATATGATGATTCATGATTGATTGCTACATCAGTGATATCTTTTTGTAAATTCATTACAAAATTCCACACACCTAATATCCAAAGAAGTGGCCACAAAGAAATAAATAATTAAATGATATGGGATGGAGATCCGAGTATGACCGTCTTTGGTGAAATTTTGATACAATTTCGTATTATTATTATTATTATTATTATTATTATTATTATTATTATTATTACATTTCAAATTAAAATCCAAAATTATACATTTCATAAAAAAAAAAAAAATTAAAATGTAAATGACTCACCAAACAAACATTGAGATCTTTGGCAACTTCTGCAATGGAAACATTTGAAGGTGATGGACCAACTCCTCCATATAAGAAAACATGTATTAATATTTATTTTATTAACATTTCATTTCACCAATTTTAGATTATAAAAAATAAAAAATGATAACTTACATATTTACACATTTACATGTAATAAATGGCATACCATATCACTTGTAGACTTTTGAATTTCAACTTCTTGAGCTACATAATCTACCTATATAGAACAAATAAATTGTCTATTTAGGGGTAATTCGGTAAATAGTGTTCTCTACCTTATTATTTAAAGATTCCATATGCAACTTACATAACTTGATACAACAACAATACGGGAAACATTCCAACCAATAGAATGAAGCTTTCTACACAACAAATGTCTTAATGCATCCTCCATCCTTCCAGACCTAAGCTATGTCAAATCATAAACATCAGTCAACACATAACAAATTATAAGAATAATAATACAAATAATAATGAAGAAACTTACAGAATTTCATCACCAACTGCTATGATTGAGGATGAAGGGGTGTTTTCTTGATGTGATTCCACACCTTTGACTCCATATTTGACTTTTTGAGGTAACTTTTTGGCTCTTGCAGCTCTTTCTAATCTTCCATCTGAGAGCATATATGCAGGCTTGAACTTTCCCTTACCAAAATCTTTAATGCATAACAATGCATTTGGAGTTGTGTCATTAACACTTCCTATTGATGTATATCTGTAAACATGTAAAAAAAGTTTTTTTTTTAAAAAAAAAAAAAAAAAAAAAAAAAAAACAAACCCATAAATCAAATTCTTGAAAATCTAAGATATGAATTACCCTTGGTCGTATAGACTATAGTATGGAACCTTGCAAGTCAAAAGAAAAGCCCACACATCTCTGCCATAGAAAATCAAGGAAATTACAAAAATGTCATTCTTCATAATTTGGCATGTTTATGAATTATGATTGAAATACCTGTAAGACCAATCCAAGATTGGATTAACTCTCATGAAAGGTAGCCATCCAGGTGAGCTTGGAGTGAATTGTTCTTAACCCACCTTCAAAAAGTCAACATTTATTTTTCAATTTTTATGAACATATTTGACAAATATCAAGTTTTTATTATTTTTAAAACAATAACATGACAAGAATTATGGCTTGCAGCAGTGGGATCACCGATTCTAACACCAAATTGAAGTTCAAGCAAACCAATAAAATCATGCACATTCACAAAAATAGGCAACTAATAACAACTTCATATCTAGAAACTAACCTACTCCAAGTGGCCTTATGTAGGCATGTTGAGTATAAACTTGTGATTTGTCAGTAATCCTGCAACATATACATTTATCAACATAAAAATGATATGACATAATCTGATAAATGGAACCTAAAAAAAACTATAGGATTAATACCATCTTGCTAATACATAAATAGGCATCTCATAGCCATATTTACAACGAAACTCAGCTGCTTCATTTCTTGCCTGTTGAACCAATGTGTTTGCATTAGCTAGAAAGATGTACAAAAGATTATTTGTTAGTTATTATTCTTGTCCTACACAAAAATATTTGATTTGATGCTGCAAATCATTGAAAAAATAACTTGTAGTTCCATTAGCTAACAATCCAAGGAAGTTGGTGACAGGGAAAAGATGTGTAAGGTTGGTTGGATCCAAGAGCTTACAATAAAAGGGAATCCAATCTTGAAGTGGTGAAATGAAGTTGTTTGTACACAGTTCAACATATGTTTTGGCTGGGACATACAATGAAAATAATAACTAACATGTGCATTTTAACGAACACTTGGGGTGCAATTACTATGGTTGCTAGTTTTGTAGATGTTGAAAGTTGCTGATCTTTAACCCTCTGCATGACTCCCTAACAATCCCGTCCCCATGGCTATGGTTGTTATCTTCTGATAAAAAAAATTGAAAAACTCGGTTTAAGCATTTTATCGAGCAGTTGGTGTGCATCCTAAGCGCTACAATCAAATCTTATATACTCGATTTCGTATCATCCAAAAAACTAATCAATCAAAATATAGAAGAAGAGAAAGTCAAGAAGAAGTCGAGAAGGATGGTGAAAATCGAAAATCGAAACCTTACCAGATGATCGACTGCACCGTATCAACGATTTAGATGAACAAATTCATCAGGAAGGTGGTGAATGAAAGAAACATATGGAATCAAAGAACAAATATGAAGTCAGTGGTGTGGTAGAGTGGAAACATCTGCGTTGTCAGAACAACTCGATCAAGCAAGAGCTATGTAGAAGAGAGGCCTAGCAGTTCAAAGATGTGGAGTAGATGGTGGGAAGTAGATGTGGAGAAGAAGAAGCCGGTGGATGAAGAGAGATAGGGATCACCAACAGCAGGAGCGCCCGTCTGCGTTGCTGCTTCTTCCTACTTCCTTGTCGATTTTGTCCAGTCTCTCTATCTCGGGAGTTCTTTTCCAGTGATTCAAAACACACACAATCTTGAACAACAAAATCAGTGAATTTGAGGTGTTCACCAAAAAGGAAACAGAGAAGAAACAAAAGGAAGATAACGATAGATCGAAACACAGAAAGAAAAGGAAAGTGGTTGAAATAAAGATCAGAAAAAACGCCAGCAATCCAAAAGTGATTGGGTGGGAAAACGGTGAAGACAACAGGCGTCAAGCACGTAGCAACAAAAATCAATAAAATGGCAGAAACTATCCAAAAAACAAAGACGGAAAAGGAAAGCCAAAAATAGACATGTATATGTAAAGGAATGACCATTTTTGCCAAATCGTTAGCAAAGTTATTGTAGCTAAGGATGGAAAAAATTAATATATATATATATATATATATATATATATATATATATAATTAGTAAATCTAATAAACAGAAGGTGTTATATGTCATGAAATTATAATTTGAAAGAGATTATCCGAAAATAATCATTTATTCCGTAAAATAATTTTTGTGAAAACCATTTGGCTTTGCACCTAATTTACAAACCTTTACTCATCTTTGGTCTACCATTATATTAGGCGTAACAAATGGTATAATTTCTTTTTTAATATAACACCATTTTCTATACCAGTGTTATTAATAGTAACAGCTTATCACATTAGAGGCATCACACTTGAGGTGCTAAATCTTTCTAAGACCAAGAACTTCAAACTACATAAGAGATGTTCATCAAACTATGAGTTTTATATTGTATATCCTCTATTGTATGTTAGTTAGGATGTATGCTTTGGAAAATTGAAAATGCATGTATAATTAGAGAAAACATAGATCCAAAACATCAAGGGTTACATGTGCACCTTAGAAGTGTTATAGTACCAAAAACCCAAGAGTTTTGTGTTTACATTTATTGATTTATGTGTTTCATGTACTTCTGAGGATAGCGGCAAGGTGAATGTCAGATTTTACACACTCACTGGGAGGACTGCTACTGGGACAGCTTGAGAAACTCCGATATTTTGTGATAATGGTTGTTTTGGATAATTATGTGTTTGATAACTTGGTTGTGAAACTTGTTTTTGGTAAATTTTTAAATGAAAATTTTGCTCTATGATTTGAGGTGTTACACTTGGTGAATTGATCACGGTTGTTTTTAATAAAGCATCTACATCCGAAAACATGTAAGAACGAGATACTTGGCTTTCGACCATTCACTGCTTCATACGGTTTCATGTTGAGACGAAGATTGATGTGTTGGACTAGTGTCTAAGTCCATAACCATAATTGGTATGTATTTGACCCGATTTTTGGAATAGTGTCTAAGCCCGTAACTATATTTGGTATGTAATTGACCCGATTGTGCATGGTCCTTTTAGGTTGCCTTCACCAAAGCAACTTAACAAGGTAATTTAAGGAGAAAAAGAGAATATTATGGTTTATTAATATATTATACGAATAATATATTAAAGGAGAAATCATACTTATTTAATTAGTATTGGTCATAAATTAATTAGGAATTGATTTGGTGACTAAAAGAGATTAATTAAATAAAGGGGTATAAACTGTCAAATGTACGATAGTTAAGTTTTGGGCTAAGGAAACCTTATGGACTTAAGGGGGAATGAAATTATGATGGAGATCCATCATATTTTCGTCCAAGGCCTTATTTCAGAAGGTTCCTTGGGCTTCTTGGTGATTAAGCTGTCCATTAGGGTTTAGATTGAAACCATAGCAGCCTGCAAGTATAAATAAGACCCATAGCCCATGGAAATCAGCTACACATGCTTCTAAGAGAGGCCGATTTCAACACCTATCATCTTTCCTCATATCGGCTTCTTGCTTGTGGGGTTTGTGAATAATTAGAGGAGTCACAATTGTGACTCTAAGCTCAAGATCAAGAAGACTACAAGGATTTCAAGCTACTTGAAAGAGGTAAAACACTTAGATCTGTTTTCTTTATGATAATTTCAAATTATATATGATAGATCTAGGTTTGTAAGTCTTGGATTCAAAGCATGTACAATAGAGAAACCTACATCCAAGCATTAGGGTTTGTATGAGCACATAAGATTGTTTCTTATGTATAAAACCCATAAGTGGTATCAAAGCCTTGATTGCTTTCAATTGTATGTGATGCTTAACTGTTTTGCTTGTTGAAAATCGAATTTATTGCCTCTGCCCGACTCAACTCGGCGAGTTGGCCCCTACTCGGTGAGTTCAGAGCTGACTCGACGAGTTCGTGCGTCAAGCAGATGATATTTCGGGATTTACATGCTGTTTTGTCTTGAATTTGATGCCTAAATCGTTTTTTGAAGTTAAAATCCGAATTTTACCTTAATTAAATGATTATCCTTGCCAAAACAATAGATAATTTCAAATCTTTTGAATACTGGTTGTTTATGTGATAAATATGGATTATTTAAAATTATTTGGTAATTATCTAATGACTAAAATTGGATTAGGTCATATATAGATAATTATGAAATTAATTGTTTAATTAAAATTATTTGTTATTTGACCCCTTTAGTTTTGAAAAGTTAAAAAACTTGTACTCAAGTTTTGAAATTTGAATTTTGTGATTGAAAGTTTAATTTTGAAGAATTTAAATTTCAAACCCTTAGAGTTTTACAAGTTTAAAATTCAACCTTATACTATTATATTATTACAAGCTTATTGAATATATATATATATATATATATATATATATATATATATATATATATATATATATATATATAAAATTAAAATGCTAGTCTTACCATTAGTAGTCCTCATTTACGAAACCGGTCTATAAGGTGGGTATAAGGTTGTTGCCAATAAAATGGCGCTTAATGGGTGTACACTCACACCCACCGCTTGCTTGATTGGTGGAGGGTTGTTAGCCGAATGGGTAGGATAGGGCAATCATCTCCTCATTAAAAGTATAATGTAAGATACAAAGTAACTACATGTTTTACAAAATTCCCAATCTTAGTCACTTTAGGGAAAAAAATGTGAAAATGATGCTATTCCATGGAATTACACTTTGTACCCTTGTCAAACGTTAGTGGAGCTTGCGTGGTTAACCGGCACACTAATTTTGGATTGACATTAGTGGCGAAGGGTGACTCGATGTTTATCATAGATCAATGGAGCGTGTGTGGTTTACCGACACATTGATTAGGTGATAGAGACATTGAGTGCAACACGTAGATTCGCATGGTTATTCACAACTTGTTTGTGATCCTCAACATCCGAGTCGCAAATTTGAAGTGCATCTCGAGATTTAAACATGCCATTGAAAAGTTCAATGAATCTCAAAGATCTAGGAGTTTTCAATACATTTAAAACTTAAATCTTCTTTTTCGTTTTTCATGGAGAGAATTAATGAATTGTCATTCACTTACCTTCAAATTATTTACTTTTATAGTACGACATCCCTTTCTAAGTTGTAAATAATGTTGTTGGGTCCTACCCCTAATTTCTCATTTGGGTGTTTAATTAGGGACTCATTTCTAATCAAACTTTGTTCCTTTTCTTTTTCAGATGTCTGCAAACAACAACAACAACACTTCTAGGTCATTCTCGTTGATGAACCTATGTCAAAAGGTGACATTTGATGGCTCTAACTTCAATGAGTGGATGAGGTATATTCGCATGATCACTCGCTACGAGGATAAAGAATATGTCCTCGATGAAAAGCTTGAGAAGATCATCCTAGATGTTGCTACTCCTGAAGAGTTGGCCGCCTTTGAGGCCCACCAGCATGATGTTACTAAAGTTCATTGCATCATGCTGGTCACCATGAACCTCGAACTCCAAAAGTCCTATGAGGACATGTATCCATATGAAATGCATCAGGATTTGTTGGACCGGTACCACCAAAGCACTAGGAAAGAGCGTTATGAGATCATTACTAACATGATCACTGCTAAGATGGGGAGTGGAGAATCCCTAACCTCTCATTTGCAAAAAATGCAGAGGTATGTTGATCGTCTTCTCAAACTTAATGTTAAGTTTGATAAGGATTTGGCTATCGACATAATCCTCCACTCCTTGCCCTCCTGTTACAACCAGTTTAGAATGACCTACCACATGAACAAAGAGGAGGTCTCCTTGAGCAAGCTCCAAGGACTGCTGAGGACTGCTGAGAGCAACCTCAAAGAAAAATCCTTTCCACCATCCCCTGTTGTGGCTGTTCCCGTGTTGGCAATTGGCCAAGGAAAGGGTAAGAAGAGAAAGGCTCCCTGTAAGGGCCACCATAAAGGTAAGACCTAAGATGGTTCCTCTTCTAGTGGAACCAAAGTTGGTTCGGCCAAACCCTCTTCCGA